TATTATACTTGTTTAGAAAATGTTACTTTTCTAAAGAGACTTATGACAGGATTAGACCTTCTGGTTCCCTTTAGACCAAGGCTTTATGGTCTTCCAAAAGTTCATAAGAAGGACGTTCCATTGAGACCAATACTTTCAATGATTGGTTCATCCCAACATTCTCTGGCTCAATGGCTTCTGCAGGTCATACAACCGGTCCAAACATTTTTTGCTAAGCATTGTATACCTGATTCGTTCACGTTTGTTGAACGCCTACAGGCCATACAGTCTTGCCCTGAGACTGATTTTATGTGTTCCTTTGATGTGTCAGTCTATTTACTAACGTGCCATTGAGGGAAACTATTGATATCTGTGCAGACTTTTTATACAGAAGGTAACATTGCTCCACCTCCTTTTCCTAAGGATATATTTATAGAACTCATGATACTATGTACTAGTTCGGTGGAGTTCAGTTTTGACAATATTATGTATAGTCAAGTGGATGGGGTCCAGATGGGCAGTCCCCTTGGCCCTGCATTGGCTGATATTTTTGTGGGCTACCATGAAATGTTACTTTTCGGCAAAGTGTCTAAACCATTTGTTTACGTTAGATATGTCGATGACACCTTTTGCAACATTCTCTAATAAAAGTGAGGCTGTTGAGTTCTTTAATGAGCTCAACTCCTTACACAATGGTTTGTCTTTCACTATGGAAGGGGAGAAAGACAATTGTCTGCCTTTTGGATGTTTTTGTTGAACGCAGTAGAGGTGGTTTTATTACTAGCATTTATCGTAAACCCACCTTTACTGGACTTTATTTGAATTGGCGTTCATTTGCTCCTGCATCAAGGAAAATTAATCTCGTTAAAACCTTGGTGTATAGAGCGCTTAAAATGTGTTCCCCTATTAGATTGGACCGTGAATTTGGGAACATTAGGGAGATTTTCCTTAGTAACGGCTATCCGGAGGCCCTTATTGACTACATTATAAGTAAGAAAACTAAGAAATTTCATTCCCCTAAAATCCAGGGCCTTCTAAATGTCCGGTTTATTTGAAGATTCCCTGGATTGGGGATAGTGGTCAGGGCTTAATTAAGCAGGTTAACAAGTTGGTTTCCGGTTGTTTCCCATCAGTTGCTTTACGTAGCATTTTTCAAACTAGGTCTGCGTTTCCGTCTTTTCGCAAGGATGTATTGCCCTACATCAAATTGAGTAATTTAGTATATGAATTTAATTGCCAGTGTGCTGCTGGTTATGTGGGGCGTACAACCTTGCATTTGGAAACTAAATTAATCAGCACGTTCCTTCAAAATACGACTTGGTAAGATAGATAGAATATGCTATCTTCCCCCATGAATATGGAATCGGCTATTGCTCAACATTTAGTTGAGAATATAGCTTGTGCCAAGTTGTATAAAAAAAGTGGTTTAGAATTATTCATACAGCCGATTCAATAATCATTTGAAGATTTTGGAATCGGTCTGTATAGGATTTAAAAACCTTCTCTCTGCCGGCAGAAAGAATTTATAAGGTCTCTGAATCTGTTGGGGGATATTTTATTTTAACTGTCCCTCGCTATTTATTTACACGATAACCCTTCCCTCGTTACAAGTATATATACTTGTTCGTTATTTTAGTGTGTTTCCCCTCTTTTTGCTCTTCAATATCGCTATTATTCATTTCGCTAATCCAACGATTGTCTCCTGATGAGATGTTGGCTGAAAGGGCTCTAGAGACTTTTAATATTAAAATCAATGGTTTCCTTGTTTTTAAAACTATATATATATATATATATATATATATATATATATATATATATATATATATATATATAATCAGGTAAAATTACCAATACAATACCTTTTAAATCCACAAAATTTTTAAAATTATATATATAATATATATATATATATAAAATTATTAAGAAAGTTATGTACTGTGTACGTGTGTATGATCAAAGTGTGTGTGTGTGCCTTTTGCACCTCGATGTGAGTCGTAATGGTTAACAAGCATGTCTCTAAAACAATTACGAAGGGGATTCCTCGTTCAAGTTTTGTTTAAGGGAAAGATTAAGTCGTTGATTGTTTTTTCATGTGGTTGTGAAAATTTTTTTGGTTTTAGATATATTTTTGGCTTCCAATGACCCGTTAAGAGATCCAGGTAAAACCTCGGCTGTCATGAATTTGAAAGACTATATTGAATCCATTGCTAGGTCATTGCAAAAAAAATTAGTTTCACTTATTGGGCTAGACAAAATCTTTCTACAGAATCTATTTTTCTTCAGCATATCTATAATGCCTACTATTCGTCCATGCTTAGAATATTGCTGCCATGAATATGGTCCGTGAGTTCTGATCATAATATCTTTAGATCCTTTTCCAAGCCGAAGAAAATCAACAATATTATTCGTCCTGATCTTGTGTTTCGGTCTATATATGTAATGTTTCCTCCCTGTATCATTCTTAAATACTTTCATGATTTCCTTGTTCGGATGTCTCTTCCTTGAGGTGAATATAAGTGCATTTAAACGATTAACTAGCTACGAGGTCTCAAATTTTAAAGTTGAGTTGACTAGATGTAACCACAATGTTCTATGTTAACAGTTTTATTTTCTCGAACTTTCTCGCTTGTGAAACTCTCTTCCGGCTCCATTTTTGCTTTCCAAATCAACTTTGGTCTTCAAAAGTGTAAATCAATAATATCTAATATCTTCTGATTCATTTCTTTTGTTCTCGATCCTCAATTCCGTCTTCTAAATCATTCTTTTAATTGAAAAATGTTTTAATAAATTTTTCCTATGATTGGGGTCAATCGCGATTAAAAAAATTGTAGTTTATAAATATGATTGGGTAGAAAAATATTTTTTTTATTTTCAAAATTATTGTTTTTTAAATACTGGTGCATCAATATGTCGCTCCTCACCCAATGTTATGGGACCTTTACCATAATAACATAATGTGTATAACATGAATAAATAGAGGCGGTTCGATTCCCAGAATATTCGCGAAAATGGGCGAACGGCTGACCGGCTGATTTAATGGTTTTTCTCTTAGAATTTCTCGTTGGAGGAACATTTTTTTCTGAGTTGAAGGGTTTTTATCTTTCCCTTATAGTTCTCCATGAACCCGTTCATACAGGTTCAATCATGGAAAATATTTTTTTCCTATAATGATGCCTAAGGACTCGGACATAAAATTAAAGATTTTAGAGGCCTTGTTCCATTATGCCCTATAATTATATATGACAAAATACATTTTCATTCTGAAGGACAATTACCGTGGTTTAAATCAATTAACCGGACCAAAACACCCAATTCATTTTGTATGGGGCGTGGAGAAAAAACTAAAAAATGGTTAGAATAGATTTAAAAGTTTCCCAAATTGGGAGCCACAGACCCTGCAATGGAAATTGTAAGTAGAATCAGCGGTTGTTGTTTAAATTACAAAAAATAGTGAATTTCAATTTAAATAAAGTTCAGTACATATTAACCAAGTAAATGGTTTTATAGTTTATTCAAAGCTGGAAAACTAATTTTTATTCCTTGTTATTATATATTATTTTATATAAAATGTACAACCCCAAAAACATTGTGAATATACATGAACATGCGGATAATAACTCTTTTGTAAATAATCATTTTCCTTTCTCAGAGCTATAGACATTTAATGAAATAGTCATATCTATAAAGAAGTGCCTTGCAAAAATTGAACTGCAAACAATGCTTATCATTATCCCGCATGATAAATGGATGTTTGTTTTTTTTCGGTTTTTATCCATTTTAAAGTAAATCCTTCTTATTGGCTGAACATTTGTATTAATAAATTCAAAAAGAATTGAAAATTTAGGTTTATATTTATGGATATCTCTCTCATATCAAACTATAACTTTTTCAGTAAACATTGGAAACCATAATTACGGCGCTTTCCTATTATTAATTCATATATTATATATATTTATAAATATATATATATATATATAATTTCTTCTTCGTCGTCGTCGTCGTCGTAACTGAAGAGTAGAAATTCAACTGACCTCCTTTAAAAAAACTCGATATATATATATATATATATATATATATATATATATATACGGAATCACATTGAATCGACTTAAAAACTAAAAGAAAAAAAAATAAAAAAAACTATATAAATTTAAATTCATTCTTTCAGAAAACAAAATAACTTTGATTGACCCAAAAAAAAAATTCCCTTTAACCAATGGACCCTTAACGTTGTCTGTTTCATCACACACACACACACACACACACACACACACACACATATATATATATATATATATATGATTCATTAAACAACTTTGTGTCCAAAAATTCATACAGTTGTTCAACCCAAGGTTTTTTAAATAAAAAAGTTCATTTTGTACTATAACCATTGTCGTGTATAATGTAACAAATTGTAAATGAACAATTGCTAAGTGCTGAAATTATTTTATTATTTATATATATCAATTAATGGTTAGAATTTCTTGTTTGGTATTTAAAATTTTATCTAATACTATATAAATATAATAAAAAATAAACTGAAAAGGCCCCTCAAACGTTGATGGTAAAATTCTTAGGTGGTCATTTAAGCTATTTAAAAGATTTAATGCTCTACCAAACTAAAGCTGGTCGTTGCTTTTATTAAAAAAAAAACAACAACAGGAATTTTTTGTAAGGTGAAAATTGAAAAAAAAGACGATTTAACAATTACGATTGTAATGCAACCTCCGCGATGATGGAAATGTTAGCAATTATATTTTCCGGATCCATTAAAAACTATTAAATCCAAAAGTTTATTTAATGCATATAATTATTCATAAGCACTTATTAATGGGAAAAAAAAAAAATCCAACACTGAAACATACATTTATTTGCTATATATATATATATATATATATATATATATAATTCTTCTTCTTCTTCTTCTTCTTGTTCTTGTGTTCTTCTTCTTCTTTTTCTGTGTTTAAATCTTTTTCTTCTTATTCTCTTTCTCTTTCTCCTTCTTTTCTTCTTCTTACAAGCTTTCTTCTTCTTCTTCTTCTTCTTCTTCTTCTTCTTCTTCAATTCTTCTTCTTCTTCAAATCCTTGCGTTTGAATAA